CCCCAAAACCCCAAAACCCCTTTAAACATAATATACTTTATTTTTTGTAAAATAAGAATAAATACAATATTTTTGAATATTATTTATTTTAAATTAAGAAATTAAATTCAGATGAAAAACAGTCCACTTTGATCCTCAAATTTTTAATGAATAACAGGCGGTTCTCTCTCTTTTGAACCGATCTCTCCAACAAGGTAAGCTAACTTATGAGCATACTGAACTGGTGCAGGGATACTTATAGCTCCTGCAACGTTAAAGTAAGTATGACACAGCTTGTAAGTGAGCAGTTCTATCTCCTCTGTTGACTCATTATTGAGAACAGAGTCGTGAATGATAGTGTATCTAGTTGGTTTAACCATTCCTTATTTGGCTTAACAGCTTACTAAGTAAAATTCTCTCATATTCTTCTCAGTAATAGCTGAGTTTACTACAACTCCAGGAATAGGATTCTTGAAATGATTTTCTAGCTCACCCTATGCAAACAGTCTAGTGTTTATTCTCTTATTAATGATGATGTACATTAGCTTAACCTAATCTTGCTTCATTTCTAGATCCTTCAGAGCACTCATAATCTGACCAATTTCCATGCTTGAGACACTTTCAAGTTGCTTGTCACCAACACCATCTCTGTAGAATATGATCTTCTCGGGGAAAATGCCTGCTACTTTTTAGAACTTTCTCAAGGCCTTTTCTATGAGAACTTGCAAGTTGTGTGAAACTTCAACACCTGAATCCTGAATCACGGTCTTTGACCAATACTTTGTGGCACTGTTGTTGTATGAGGAGCAGAAGCCTAAAACTGATCGCTTTCCCATCGAGGTCATATGATAAACATCCATTCCACAGATCATAGTTGGTCTGTCAAGGATGGGCATCTTGTCCACAATCCAAGGAATTCCACCAATTTTAGCGCATAGCTGAATTAGTATCTTGCTTACAATTGATCTTACATTTCTTCCTCTGAGGAGAGTACTTGTTAATACAACCTAGGAGATTACTGGGATTTCCTCAAGAAGCATTCTCTTTATCTCAGGATATAACTAGCATCGATCTTTATAGCCTGGTAAAATCAAGACTATAGCTTAAACACTTGAATCTAACTTGACTAGAAGTGTCTGTCTCCATGTCTCATATGTGTTTCCTTTTACCACAAAGCTTGCCATTTGCTTGGCTGGATATCCAAAGGTTAAGATGCTTTTCTCCATGTTAATCAAGAAATCTTTAGCTATGCCACTATCTCTCTCTTGGTAGAAGATCCCCCATTTCAGCAATTAGGGCTAGTCGTACATCCTACATTAGGTTTTTCTATCTAAGTCTCGACCATTAGACTCAATATCAAATTTGATTCTCTCCTCGCCTCTTTCACTAGCTTTGCCCATGATCATATTACCGCTCTCATACTTATAACCTTTAACTTAAAGAGGTCTATCTACTAACTTAAAGTCAAGTTGATCCATAAGGAATTTGCAGTATTTATTTTCTGCCAGTTACTAAAATAACTTTTAGCAATCTCTCACTTTAAGTGGCGCATCAGAGTGTGTGAATTATTTGATCTCTCTCATTATTTTAAAGTCATCTTTCATCTATGCCGTTATGCCTGTCATTTTACAAAGCTCAGGTATGAGGTGAGTTACTTTACCTGTCCTCATATCAAGATTCAATAGCAGAGGTTAGTTCTGATCAGAAATTATCTCATTATATTTTGATTTATAGTACTCTAGGAAACTAATATCTTAGCCTTAAAATGAAAATTTGGATTGTGGTGAGACATCGAAATCAACCTTACTAATTCTGTAAGCCTTGTTACTGTAGATGGCAATGACAGTACTATTTTCCATTTCTTTCTATATTTCCTTGAAGAAATCTAGTCCTCTACTTTCACACATATCTTTGATAAACAATATATACTCAAGTGCAGTCTCATTTCTGATAACTTTGTAGCAAGGCTCAATGTTTAAAAAGATCCCTGCCTCTCTTTAAGTGAGTCTGATATCAAAGCCGGGCCAAATTTCCATTTTATGCTGCTAAAACTTGATTGACCTGGACGAATCGAAACAATTTCTTCCTATTTACTCAAACTTAACAGCCTTCATTAGTGATAGAAAGGATGATCTGATGAATAAAAAATACTCCTGTGTGTTGAACTCAATCTAATTCGTAAACTCAATAGAAATCTCGTAGTTGATATTATCGTCTTGTACTTTAATAGTCTAGGTGTCATTTACAATTGATTAACAGTAGAGTGTCCAATTGTTTAAGCAGTAGTTTGAATAGATTAACTGAAGTGATTTTTTGCCAAAGATCATTAACTTCTGCAAAAATTTAATTGAGTTTTTAGGAATCTCAGGAGTCACTTTAATAGTATACTTGTAGATGTTAGAATCTTTGATGCTTGATGATACAAATGGTCAAATCTCAAAGAAATTTGCAAAAAGCTATACCTTTCTCTTACTTATTTGTGAAATCTCACTTTACCTTGGCTTAGACTCAATTCTACTTTCCATAAATTAATTATTATTAATAGTACTTAATCTTAAGTGAAATTACAGAACTTTGGGGTTTTGGGGTTTTGGGGTTTTGGGG